AGTGCGCCAGAACTGAACCAGCCCAAAATATAAAACTTATTTTTTAGGAAAAGTATGACGAAGTTCTTATTTATTGAAGTGTTTTATGATGTTTTAAGATGAGACGAGTAATATCCAAACACTCGTTTTTCAATTTAACCGTTTTTTTGTTAAAACACTTTTCACAAATTCAGCTTAAAAATCGAGTGGGGCTGCATGAGTTTAACATTGTCCATACAGCCAGATGGGGTGCAATTTTCCTGAAGTGCGAATAGCTGCTAGCCGAGACCAAAATCTTGATCCGCGCATAAAACACTGGTAAATATGATGAAAAGCATCATATTGTGTACAGTAACGGGTAATTTATCAGCTATATATTAACCCGCGCACCGACGGGGGGGGGGCGGATATCCGCCCCCCCCCTGAGGTTTTTCGCGAATAGCGGGAAAACCGCGGCGCGTAGCGCCGCGAAATTTGGTATGACTATAACCTCATCAATTTTACACATGGGGTGCAAGTTTGAACCTCCTACCTTTTAAGGTCAGGTCACCAGGTCACTTTGAATGACCCAACCTCAAGTCACTTTTTTGCAACTTTGTCACCGTGCCAGAGCTACAGTAGATGTCGGAGGCCTTTGAAAGTCGCAGGACATTATTAGGTCATTAGTAGCTACAATTTGTATATCTCGGAATTTTGATATCGGTGACCTAAGGTCAGGTCAATTTCGCGACCTCCCCATTATAAGTCAATGGGGGAAAAATCAACTCCCTGTTTTTACCACTAAAACGGGTCGGAATGGCCCCATATACCATACATGACTTCATATACGATCAACCTTCACTACCTTGAAATCTGTTTTGCTGTTGGGCAGCTGTGAGGTCATGTGACGTCATCAAAGGTCACCAAAGGTTTTTGGCCAATAACTCCGTACAGGAACAAGATACAGACGCGTGGATGGTCTCATTGTGTTCAGCTCGTCAAGACGCATCGAATGATATACATGATGACCTCGAGGTCACGTGACCTGAGGTCAACCTTTGACCTTGACCTTTCGAGGTCAACATATATATCATTCGATGCGGATTGACGAGAGGATCACGATGATGCCCTTAGTTTGTTCCTATCTTGACTAATTCGAAAGTTATTCGAGAAAAACTCTCTCCATATCTAGCGCCGCCATTTTGACTTTTTCGACCCCTGTGACGTCATCTTTGACCTGACCTGAAAATGACCTTTGTAAAAATTATAGATCTTGGCCGTGCGTATCCGATGCCGTTTACCGCTTGTCGCTATCTTGCTTCGTTCTCGAGATCTCAGGGGGGGGCGGTTATCCGCCCCCCCCCCCCGTCGGTGCGAAGTTGGCGCAGACCCCCGTCGGTGCGCGGGTTAAGGAAATTCATATTTTCAAAATGTCCACTAGTATTGAGGGAAATTGCTGATTTTCCAATCACGGCGCATTTTGGTCAGTATAAGCGCACTTAAAAACATGAGTGAATTTCGACGCTGTGTTTCCTCAAATTTAATGCATTTAAGTCATATTATTACTTTGCCATGTTCCTGAGCATAATACATGCATATTTCATTCAGTGGCATCGAGCGTTTGAAGATTATGCGGCATTTTACTTTCTTTCCAGTCCAGGCGCATTTTCCTGTGCAAAAACGCAGGAAAAGCGCAGTCCAATCTAAGCGCACCGTGTACATCGGCGGCGCCCTCGTTTCCTCGTAAAGCGCAATCCGATTCCCATCTGTTAACCCGCGCGGGGCTGGGGGGGGGAAATTTTACCCCCCCTCGCGAATTTTTGCGATATCTCAAAAACGGCGGCGCGCAGCGCCGCCAAACTTTCAGTACCTTTTCTTACATCAATTTGACACGTTCCCTGAAAATTTGAGCGAAATCCGTCGGAAAATTTTTGAGAAATTGACGTTTTAGTGACGTCATGTTCGTCATTTTCGCCTCAAAAACGGCAAAAGTTCAAACGCCGCTAACATCTTCATTTTTAAAGGAATCAAGACGTAACAAAAAAGGTTATACGTAATTTGACTTTGTCTATCAAATGGCTATCTCGGTTTTTTGAAAATTTTGGATTTTGGCCTAAATTTTTTCAAAAAACTGACTTTTTTGGGAAAATCATTATAAAATCCAAAATTTTGAGTCTATCGAAAAAACCGGAATATATGTCAGAGAAGTGGTCTATGTGCACCTACATACCAAATTTTAGAAGAATCGGTTCAAAAATGTGGGAGTTATTCAAAATTTTATGACGTCACGACACACAAAATTTTTGAAAAATGACTTTTTTGGAAGTTCTAGACCTCGTACGGAAACAAAAATAGCACCATTCGATTCGCCGTGAAAAACTGCATCAGATAGACACCTTTTTAGGCCTTAACAACCAACTTCAAAATTTGACCTCACTTGACCTGACCTTGACCTGACCTCGACCTGAAATTCATCCAGAGGTGGTCCATATCACTTATTGAGTGTGCCTATTGAATTCTATTAGTAAAATGACCCATAAAACATGTGTCGCACATGCCCTTTTCTATATTTTGTTTTTTGGTGACCTGACCTGACCTGACCTGACCTTGACCTTGACCTCTGAATGATATTGTATGCAACGAATATTGTCTTAGTAGCCTAAGAACACGTTTTGGGCGATCAGTCTCAGTCCATGACTCCATTCTTCGGCAACTACGGTGCAAGGCCGATACTGTAGAAACTTGCAATTTGTACCCTTGACCTGACCTTGACCTTGACCTCAAACTTTAAATTAAGTACATGTTTTTAGTAGTTCGTGATGAGAGCTTTCGATTGGCGTTTGAATTTTCCAAATCGGACCGTTAGTTCGGGAGATAACAGGGGGGGGGGTAAAATTTACCCCCCCCCAGCCCCGCGCGTTCGGCTGGAGACCCCAGCCCCGCGCGGGTTAATATCTGTTCCATGTCCGGTGGTGTCCGGTGTGCTCAACCGGACACCACCGGACATGGAACGGATATTAACGGATGACAAACGGACGTCCAACGGAAACAAACGGACATCACCGGACGCTGACAGTTCTCGTCCGTTTCTCGTCCGTTTGTCCAATCCGTTCAAGTGTGACCGAGGTTTTAAATTGTATGCAATAATCGTGAAAGACGTTTGCCTCTGTCAATTACAGATAGTGTCGGCGGCTTCAAGCCGATCGAGGTCTGCGAGAGTTCTTGCAAGCTTTCCGATCGATCGAGTGGTAACAGTCACATAAGCATCTGCCGCAGACCAGTCGGTTACAAGAAAAACTACGAATAAAGAACATACCAGTTCAGACGGTCTGAGCCGCCTGCGAGCGATCTCAGACGGCTCGCCGATAGACACGATATAAGCCAGAGTCAAACTAGAGGTAGTGTCGGCAACTTCCAGCCGATTGAAGTCTGCAAGCGATATTATGCGTCTTCACGAACGGTATGGTGCTTGCAGTCGCACATCTGACCAGTTGTACGAATTTCGAACCGTTCACAGTCAGCGTTCCAAAAAGTTCTCATTTGGGCTGAAGATGACACTCAAGAGTAAGAATGGATAATTTTCCACTCTAACATTATGGGTGGCTAGAATGTTCCACTCAGACACCCAAGAGAAATCTGAAGTTTGGGACACTGTTCACCAGAAGTGTACATAACTTAGTTTTTACGGAGCGAGCGAAGCGAGCGGAGTCTTTCCTTAGATTAACGGAAATTTCTGAGTATGAGCGGCCGGCCGGCCGGCCGTGCGGACGCTTTTGCGAGGCTTATATCTCAGCAACCACTTGACCGATTTACACGCGGTAATTTTTGTAGGGTAGCTTCATTCCTTCTACCAAGTATTGGACTATTCCCGATGCATGTGGGTGACCCCTTATGCACGTGCCACGTGCAAAACGAAGAGGTGTCAGTTTTGTAATTGTTGCAATATCTCGGTAACTACTTGGCCGATTGCGCTAAAAGCTGGCATGTAGGTAGGCACCCACTAGGCACTGCATATCCATGTGCCAGAGTTGGGGTGCTGCTGCACGTGCGCACGTGCAGGGGTCGTTTCCAGATCTCGAGAACGGCTGGACCGATGGCGCTCAAATTTGGTACACGGTTAGGGACCAGTTGGTAGGGTGCCGTGCACAAGTCAGTTGGGAGTTGGGACCCATTCTGCACGTGCGCACGTGCAGGGTGCCGCTCCCAGATCTCGAGAACGACTGGGCCGATTGTGCTCAAATTTGGCACATCGCTAGAAACCGGTCAGTAGGGTGCCGTGCACAAGTCAGTTGGAGGTACCCCCTCGAAATTTCGCACGTGCAAGACTCACCCCCTCGCTCGCTCCGTTAGTCGCCCCAAAAGGCGCTATACTGTTTTTTAAAGAAAATATTAGGTTTGCGCAGTGCGCTTGGACTTTTGAGTGAATTCTTTTCCATGCGACACCAATGGGCTTAATGACCATTTTCGGAGATGTTGGGGTTGCTGCTACAACCCCCTTTTGGGGTTCCTGCTACAACCCACTTTATACATAAAGTTGTACTCGTGCTGTTCACAATTCCTCCCGATCCACCCGACAACCCCCGATCCCGTCTGACCGCTTCCGAATCTACGACTAGTCGGCGAGCGATCCATTCCGGGCTCGCTGATTTTTAACATCCGACCGGCCGTAAGTTATCGTCCAAAGTTTTATAATCTGCTTCAATATTTTGTGCATACTTGTGCGATTTTATGTGCACCGCCGGAGTATCACCACTGAGAGGGTTGTGGGTCCCTACTCTCTCTTCTCTCTCTGAAGAGTCGGGGGGGGGGGGGGGTCGAGCCCCGTTTTTTTACATTTTTTAATGCCATCCTGACGTTCTTTGCAGAATAAAGTGGCCGAAATCTGGGGAGAAATCGAAAATGAGGGGGGGGGGGGGCTATGGCTACGAAGGTCAGTCTATGTCGCTGCCCAAGTGGCCCACCAGTCAAAATTCCTTCGCCGAGGCCCTGGTACCTACCACCATTCAGAAGTAATAGTACGCGTTTCCTCAACTACTTCTCACCAGTAACGTATAGCGTCCTCAGTGACGTCGGCAGCAGCCGCAGCCACCGCCCCGTTCCGAAGGACGGGACCCTGACGGTCAGCTCCTCCAAGCGAGGAAGACTCTGCAGGAGCGCCGTCAGCTGATCCTCGCCAAGGGCCGACGGAGCGTCGAACGTCGTCATGGTTACAAGGCCGAGCGCCTCCTCAAGCGTGTTGAATAGACTGGCGACCGATGGCTGGGGCTCCGTCTGTACTATGACGTCACAAGTTGCCGATGACTGGGGCTCCGTCTGTACTATGACGTCACTGACTGCCAATGACTGGGGCTCCGTCTGTACTATGACGTCATGAAACGCTTTTGTAATTTTACTGAAAAAAGACAAGAAAAAGTACATAAATCAAAATGCAAAAGAAGTTCACAACTTTAGTTGGCTCCGTTGATGATCCGATATGCATTTACATAGCGTCGTCAAAAGTACCTATGTTGTCAATTCTATTCGGTTGTATAAAATCGTTCACAATTGATTTCATACGACGCTGAACGATTTGATAGGACCGATTAGATTTTGTGACACGATTGCTAATGAAGACATGTAAATAAATACGTGCTGGATATGGTGCCCCGAACTAGCCAACTTTATGCAGGACGGCTGTCGAAAACTGGAACAATATGATCGGGACTAAACGGCTAACTTGCAGAAGATGGTACGAATTCAAGGCATGTTTCTTTGATTGGGCGGAAAGTACAATTACAAGTTACTCGACCTTCAATCAGAGGCAGATCCAGCTCAGAGTTTTTTTTCGGGGGGGGGGGGGGGCAAACCATAACAATTTATCGATTCTTTCCATGCATCTTCCATAGGCGTAATGTTAACCCTAGAACGCCTAGGGGGGGGGGGGGTTGTATCAACCCCCCCCCTGAGGTTTTTTCGAAGTGCACGCTAAACGGCTTGTCGTAGCGGGCTGAAATTTTCAATACCCTCTGGGGCAACCTTTGCGCATCTTTTGCCGAAAAAAATTGATCGGGTCATGTCAGGTCACGGAGTTATGACGTCATAAGAGGTACAGCCTCCGGCCGACAGTTACCAAACGTGTGCGCCGAATCCCTAGGTTTTCTGCCGGTGATACCCACATTGTTTGATGGATCATGATGAAACTTCCCATGCATGTTGGGGCAAGCATTGGCTATCGTGTGGTGCAAGAAAATTGACCAGGTCAGGTCAGGTCACGGAGTTATGACGTCATAAGAGGTACAGCCTCCGGCCGGATTTTCACGAAGTGTGATGATGTGTCTTTCATGATGTGTCTTTCATATGTGATGATATGTGATACATCGTTTGCTGTGAATTGATTGTTGGAAGTTGGAAATACACTTTTCTGAGTCGTTACCTACAGTATTTATAGCGGAGCAGTGGTCAACAGCCGACGAATCGGGACAAACACCGGAGGGTGATGTGACACCATATCACTCATCAGCAATAGGCCTCTTACTTTTATAGGGTAAATACACCAAAAACCCCATATATGATGCAGAATTGAGTGGGGAATACGTTGTTGAAGGTTTGAAGTTAATATCTCTCACCGTTTTGCCGCAATCGTTGCGCAAAGTTGAAAAAGTTTGATTTTTTCGGAAAATTTGACCTTTGACCGGTCATAAGTAGGTCAAATGTTGACCTAGGACCATAAAATATACCACCAATCGCGAGATCTCGTTGAGAGCAATCCGTTGGTTTTTTCCGCTAAGCTCTACGACCTTCCGTTTCGAAACGCCAGGGGGGGGGGTCGTAACAACCCCCCCCCCCCTGGTCGTTCGTGTTATGAGAAATGGCCTGATCGTGCGAGGGTTAAAATTATGCCGTTTGGGGGGGGGGGCAAATGCCCATTTTGCCCCCCCCCCTGGATCCGCCACTGCCTTCAATGACCTAGTTATGTTTTATTTCTTACACCTTCTACAAAGAACGTTTACTTTTCACCATGACAGCCCTCCGAAATCTCTCAGCCCCCACAGCCACCCCTGCTGCCTCCCAGTCTCACCTCTGGGGACGGCCGGATGGCGCCGCTCGCCGGCGGACCTCCTGTCGCAGCTCCTCCACCACGGTCTGGCGAGTGGTCCGCTCCTCGATAACTGCCTGCTCCAGGCGGGCCACCGCACCGGCCACCACTTTGCTCAGTGAGGCCACCTCCCGGCGAAGGGCGGCCAGGTCTTCACGCACATCTGTCATCTCCATCTGTAACGCATAATTACAGTTTTTTACGTTTCTACTAATCATTTAAAGGTGACTTAGTACGTAGCGTTACGTCGTACGCATTACGACATGTCGTGCGGCGTCGTGTCTTATCATGTCACAAAACGACGTGTCATTACGCATTACGACATGTTTTGTCATGCAACCCGCATTGTTGCATACCAGGCAGGCAAGCTTGGTAGGCAGGCAAACAGGTCTTAGGTAACCAATACCAAAATTTGCTATCGTTACTACTTTTTCGCAAAAAAAAGAGATAATAAAGACACGTTTATCACTACGAATGTTTACCCCATGGCCAGGCCTTTTTCATAACGCGGACGGTGCAGTCGAGGGTCTGGCTGTACGACCCCTGGCGATTGGCTCCTGATGTACTTAGAAACACCAGATGTATACTTATAGGATGGATAGGATGTATAGGATACAGCCAGTCACACAGCAGGACTGACACAGTCACACAGCAGGACCTCGGCAAAGGAATTTCGACTGGGGGATGGGGGGCAAACCAGACTCCAGAAATCAGAATGTCATATACCACCTAATATACACCGTATAAGCGGACCTTTACACCACACCTAACATACATACCATATACCGTAGGTAACGGTATACCAAAATTCTGCCTAATCAGTTAAGCATACGTAAACATGTCTAAACAAACTTCTATCAAAGGTTTGGAGGCCAGCGTAGGGCCCTCAGAAGCCGAAGTCGAGCCGTCGGAGGCAAGGGCGCACACAAGGGGGGGGGGCACACGGGCCCGTGCCCCCCATTCGAGTTGGGGGGCCCAACTCGAAGGAAGGGGCCCATTTGAGGCGGCCTTCGGCCGCCTCAAATGGGCCTCTTACTAATCCTTAGACCACCGAAGACCGTGTACAACGGGCCCTCAAATGGCCTTAAAGGGCCCTCAGATGGTCTCAAAAGGCCCTCAGATGGCCTCGAAGGGCCCTCAGTTAGCGTCATAGGGCCCTTAGATGGTGTCAAAGGGCCCTCAGATGGCCTTAAGAAGCCCTCAGATGGCCTTAAGAAGCCCTCAGATGACCTCAAAGGACTCTCAGATGGCCTTCAAGGGCCTCAGATAGCCTCAAAGGGCCCTCAGCTAATGTCAAACGGACGTCAGAAGACCTTAAAGGGTGTCAAAGGTCCCTGAGCTGGCGTCAGAGGGCCATGCCCTTGCGTCAAATGGCTCTCCGAAGGCTCTAAAGGGTCCTTAGCTGGTGACAGAGGGCCCCCAGCTGGTGCCAGATGGCCCCCAGCTGGCGCCAAATGGCCATCAGAAGGCCTCAAACGGTCCTCAGTTGGCGTCAAGCGTCCCTCAAAAAGCCTCAAGGGGCCCTTAGAAGACCTCAAGGGGCCCTCAGAAGGCCTTAAAGAGCGTCAAAGGGCCTTGAGCTAGCGTCAGAGGGCCCCCCAGCTAATGTCAGAGGGCCCTGAGCTAGCGTCAAACTTAACCCGTGCTTGATAACTTTTTTTTTGCTATTCAGGAAAAACCACAGGGGGGGGGGGGCCAAAATGGCCCCCCCAACGGGGCGAGGGTTAAAGTGCCCGAGCAACGCGCCCCGTTGGGGGGGGGCCATTTTGGCCCCCCCTAAGATCTCGAGAACCACGCAACATAGCGACAAGCGGTAAACGGCGCTGGATAGCCCCAACGTGGAACTACCTTGTGACCCAATTTTATTGACCTAGGTCAAACCGATGACGTCACAGGTCAGGTCAAAGGTCCAATTTTCACCGTTTACAGGCATTTCAAGAAATGCGTTGTAAAATCGAGTAAAATGCATTTCATTGAAAATCATCGATGGGGAAATGTTCTTCAAACACATATTTTGCTATTTGAGGTCACTGATACCAGGTCAGGTCACAGAGGTCAGGTCACGGGGGGGGTCACCATATGAAAGTGTCGTGTGATACATGTTTTATGGTCCTTTTACATGACAAATGCGATTATGTGGGTCAGGCAGCCTTTGGGGCCAGCTTAGGTCACGTTTTGGTCAAGGTCAGGTCAAGGTCAGGTCAAGGTCAGGTCAAATTAGGTCAAATTTCAAAGATGATATTTTTGCATAAAATGGGTATCAAATCGATGCAGCTCGTCACGGGGAGTTCAATGGATTGTCTTTGTTTTGCCGTACGTGGTCTAGAATCGCTAAAAATTGAGTTCAAAAATTTGACGTCATCATTTTTGAACAATTTTTTGCTATAACTTGGCCAAAAAACGAGATATCGATCTAAAATTTGGAATGTATATAGAAAAGCGCTGGTACTATCACATATATTCCGGTTTTTTCGAAATTCGGAAAAATTTTGGATTTTTTCTCAGTTTTTCAAAAAAAATCAATTTTTTTGATTTTTTTTTGGTCAAAAACCAAAAAATTTGAAAATCCGAGATAGCAGTTTTGTAGCGCCGCTTTTTGTCTACTAGACCATATAAAGAACTTTGAAAGTGCTTGATAACTGTAGATTTGGTGAGCGTTTCAAGATTGCATGTTTTTTGCTCATTTTTGCTCGAATATGACCTCAGTTTGACCTCAATAACTCCTGACCTAAGGTGACCTAAGACTTGAAATTTGGTGTGAAGGTGTCAAATTGATGCCCGGGAAGGTACTGAAAATCTGGCGGCGCTGCGCGCCGCCTTTTTTTTGCTATTCAGGAAAAACCACAGGGGGGGGGGCCAAAATGGCCCCCCCAACGGGGCGAGGGTTAAAGTGCCCTTAGCTGGTGTCTGAGGGCCCCAGTTGGTGTCAGAAGGTCATCCATTGGCGTCTAATGGCCATCAGAAGGCCCAAAAACGATCCTCAGCTGGCGTCCAACGGTCCTCAGCTGACGTCAAGAGACCCTCAAAAGGCCTCAAAGGCCCCTCGACTGCTCAAAGGGCCCTTAGAAGGCCTCAATGGGAACTCAAGAGACGTTAAACGGCTCTCAAAAGGCTTGAAAGGGCCCTCTGCTGATGGCAAAGGGCTCGCACCTGAGTCAATAAGAGCCTTGTCAAAAAAACGGACCTGAGAAGCCTTGCCGGCCCTGGTTATCTGCGGGACTCCTACACTTACCTGAGTGGCCCCCGTTTACTGAGGGGCCCTGGTTATTGATGGGGTCCCTGGTTACTTAAGGTTACCACCAGGTTAACCA